ATTACAATGATAAAAACATACAGTAAGTAATTATCATTCAATTTGGCAATACACAATGAAAATAGCTTTGAAAACAATATAATAATTGAAGTACAGTAATCCTATCCCAATTATTGCCTATTTCCATGGTCAACTCCCTATGGTTCCAGGTTGAACAAGTAGGTTTTTATGTCTTGTTTGAATTTGTCCAACTCTGGTTCCACGGAGAGGTAATGCAGAAGAGAATTCCATAATTTTGGGGCCATATGAGAAAAGGCTCTAAGTCTGGAGTGAGCCACCTTGCTCCGAGAGACTAGTAAACAACCAAAATCTGCAGATCGAGTCCTCCTATGAGAAATATGCCACCCCACAAGTTCCACTAAATAGCTAGGGCAAGAGAAATGTAATGCTTTAAATGTCAGAACAGGAACCTTATAATATGTTCTTGATCTGATGGGTAACCAGTGCAATGACCTGCGGTGCTGCGAAATACAGTGGTGCCTCGATTTACGAGCATAATCCATTCCAGAAGATAGCCATAATTCGAAATGGTTGTAAGTCAAAGCACCATTTCCCATAGGAATACATTGAAACCCCATTAATCCGTTCCAGTGCAGTACAGTCCCCAGGCAGCGCTGAAGGGACAGAACGGCATCTCCTGCAGTTGGTGAAAAGGAGATGTAGAGCTGGGTGTCATCAGCGTACTGATGGCATGATGCCCCACACCCCCTGATGACCCCACCCAGCGGTCTCATATAGATGTTAAAACAGCCATACTGAGGGTCTCAAACGACTTCCTCTCTCAAGCCAAATGTGGCACAGCTATGCAAGAGGAAGCTCTTAGCAGCAAGGAGTAGGCAAGAGAAGAAGCTACATTCAGAAAAACAGTTCGTGTTCTTCAATGTCCCATTCATGTTCAGGACAATTCATGTTTAGAAGAAGATTAAAGGTTAAAGAACTGTTAATGCAGACATTTGAATCTGAATACAGCAGATACAGAAGACTGAAGAAACCACATATAGTCGCCCACTAGAGAATTATTATTATTTTATTAGTAGTAGTAGTATTGTTGTTGTTGTTATCGTCGTTGTTGTTTTTGTTCGTTGTTTTTGTTTTGTTGATGATGATGATGATGATGATGATGACGACGACACAGCAAGCCCCATTGGAACACGGTGGGGCTGAGAATTTTTTTAAAAAAAACCAAAACAACACCACACAGGAATGCGATGGGGCTGAAAGAAAGAAAAAAACAAAAATAAACAGCACAGGAAGCCCCATTGGAATGCGATGGCGCTGGGGGGAAAAACACTAAAAAAACATCACAGCACAGAAACATAGCCCCTCCCCGCCCAAACTCACCCTGCAAAACGATGTAAATGTACCCACCCAGAAGCAGAAAGCAGTACCAGGCAGTCCTTTCTGCAAACACACACACACTAACTGTTGGGGCAAAAGAGCTACAAAGAAGCTCTTTGCCGACCAAGGGTTGGTTGTCTAATTTGAATTCCCCACCTTTTTTCCCTGCCTCTTTTCTGTTTGCAACTCTGTTTGCGGCCAGAGTTGGTCGCAACTCGAAATGGTCATACGTTGAGATGGTTGTACGTCGAGGCACCACTGTACTGTATGAGAGTAGTATGGCAGGTTTAAAACTACTCGTACTGCACTATTCTGCACCAAGGTGAGAGGACAAAGTGACTCAAAAAGGGAGTCGTGATTCAAAAAATGTTGGAATCACTAACATGAACTGGGATTTGCGGCAGACTTATTATTGCTTCATCCTTCTCCCCATGCCTTCTAGGTCATCCCATAATGAGAAGCGGTGGAGGGAGCAATATAGGAATAGTCCTTCTTCCCCTTCCACCTCCCTAGCCATCGCTCAGGCCATAAATCCATTGCAGGAAGAAGAAGCAAACCATCACGTGGTTTCATTCCTCTGAGCTCTAAATGAACAGCAGTGACCTTTAGAGACCAAAAAGGAGCCACATACAAAAATAAGCACTAGCTTTCTGACAAACTCACCAACACGTCTTAGAAAACTTAGTATGTATCCAATATAATTTAACCAGAGTTAAACGCCATCACCAAATTATCTTACACATATTTCTTTAATCCTTATATACATGATTTCAATATTCTGATATCCCATATATTTTTTTCTACACCTCGGTATTTGTTTCCTCTTCTAATCATATTCCCACATTGGCTGAAGAAAATCTTGTTTATCCTCTGCTTTTGATAGTGTTTTATAAAATTTTACTTGTTGTCCCTTTCATTATCTTATATTTATCTGTTTTTCCTTTCTGAGGCAATAAATATAATGCTACCCTTGTTCCAAATTAATAGCATATTTTATTAAAAAGGGATTGTTAATTGTTTTAACATACAGTGGTACCTTGACTTGAGAACGTCCCTGCATGAGAACGATTCGAGTTAAGAATGGCTCCATTCGCAAAAAGTTGCATCGACTTCGAAGAATGGAGCCTCGACTTAAGAACAAAAAAACCAAAAACACAAAAAACACCCTTTCCTGCCCTTTTTTGACCTAAGTTCATCTTAGAAAAAAAAATTTTAAAAAAATTCACTTCCTAATGGTAGATAACGGATTAACCGGCTTTGCATTAGTTCCTACAGGAACTAATACTTCGACTTAAGAACAGCGTCTCGATTTAAGAACGAAAAACAGCAGATACGGATTAAATGGTTTTCAATGTATGGGAAATGGTGCTTCAACTTTAAGAACGTTTCGACTTAAGAACGCAGTCCCAATATGGATTAAGTTCTTAAGTCGAGGTACCACTTTACTATTATTATATTGTCTAAAATATTTTTTCAGGTGGGCCTGAACTAAGTTCCTGTAGTTCCATATCTGTCCATATTAGATTAGATTAGATTAGATTAGATTAGATTATATCTTTGAAATAAATTACAAGTAGAGATTTGCCAGGAGCCCTCTCTCCCAGTTTTTAAGAGGCTACTTAAATTGGAATTGTTTAAAGCTACCTTTTATTAAAGTATGCCATTTGATGTCCCAATGTGATTTAATTTTTTACTTTTGTCACATTTGGTGAGTCACATAGTATTTGACAGGAGGGCCTGGCGTGCTCTGGTCCATGGGGTTACGAAGAGCAGGACATGACTAATGCCTAAACAACAACAATGGTATTTTATATTATTTTATGAAGGAATATATTTTGTAGTCTTTAGCAGTTACTACATTGACTCATATCTGTATAGTATGGATAATTTGAGGGTCTCAAATACCTGTAGAATTGATGCCAATTTCTTATCTTCCTCAGTTCTATGTAACTGAGCCATTTTTATATGTTTTCTGTAGGTATATCCCCTGTGGTCCTTCTGTCTTCAATCTTATTTCCATTAAACACAAGTCTCGTATATTTGTTTACATAACAGCACTAAATACTGAAGAATTTCCGATTTGTTTCTTGCAAGCAGACATAAAAATGGGGGACACCCAGCCTAGACACAGGAAATTTTCACTTCCCTAGTTATGTCAAACTTGAAGGCTCATCTGCCTCTTGTATTTTATCAGGAAAAGGAAAATAGAAAACTATTTTATGATTATCGGGAAATAATTTGTATACCCTGACCCTGCTGACATTCCACCTGATGAAATGGAATTGAGTTACCAAAATCTTTTCTTTCTCCTTCAAGGGGCTGGTCTTGGTGCAGCTATGGGACTCCTCCCTTTGTCGGGGGGAGGGGTTTCAGAGACAGAGCAGACACCTTGGCTTGATCCCCCGTGAGATTCCTGTCTGTGCTGCACTTCTCCATCTTCTGCACTCCATTTTTTTCTCACATCAGGTCACAAACGGGAGAATCAGAATGCTACGGAATCACTTGTTCTGCCACTGAAAAGAAACAAGAGTGAAGCAGGAAGAGAAGAAAAAAGATACCCAGAAGGAATGGAAAGGGTGAAAGGGAAGCAAGTCGAGAACAGAGGAAAATACTTATCTCCAACTTATCAGAGCTCTGATGTCTGTGAACTTCTGGAAGTCTGAAATAGCTGCCGCCAACCAAAAAACAAAGGGAAAAGTTTCTCGACAGCAAAAAATACATTCAAATTTAATGCAGATGTCACATACTAGAGTCAACTTGATGGAGAAACCAAGCCAATGCGAGAATAATGGAAAGAGTATGACCATGAATAGTAAAGTTATTTCATGTGAAAAACCCCTTGGAGGGGAGAAACAGTATAAATGCCTGCAGTGTGGAAAGAGGTTCAGGTACAACTGTCAGTTTATCACACATCAAAGGACTCACACTGGGGAGAAGCCATATAAATGCATGGAATGTGGACTGAGCTTCAGTCGGAAGGATATCTTGAATTCACATCAAAGAGCCCACACTGGGGAGAAACCATATAAATGCAAGGAGTGTGGGAAGGGCTTTAGTCAAAATGGACATCTACTTTCACATCAAAGGACCCACACAGGAGAGAAACCATATGTGTGCATGGAATGTGGAAAGAGCTTTGGCCAAAGCGGTAACCTCAGTGCACATCAAAGAATTCACACTGGGGAGAAACCGTATAAATGCAAGGAATGTGGGAAGAGCTTCAGTGAAACCAGTAGCCTTAGGTTACATCAGAGGACTCACACAGGGGAGAAACCATTTGAATGCATAAAATGTGGGAAAAGCTTCAGTGACCACAGCAGCCTCAGATCGCATCAAAGAATCCACACTGGGGAGAAACCATATGAGTGCACAAAATGTGGTAAAAGCTTTAGTCACAGCTTTAACCTCACTTCACATCAAAAAATTCACACTGGAGAGAAACCATTTGAATGCAAGGAATGTGGTAAGACCTTTAGTCAGAGAGGCAA